TTATGACTGAACTGTGTCCCCTAAAGCTCATATATTGAAGCCCTAGCCCTCAGGACCTCAGAATGTGACTGCATTTGGAGAGAGTGCCTTTAAAGAGGTAATTAAGTTAAAATGGGAGTCATTAGGGTGGGCCCTAATCCAATGTGACTGGTGTCCTTATAAGAAGAGATTGAGATACACAGAAAGAGACCGACATCAGACACATGTGCACACACAGCAACAACCATGTTAATACATAGGAAGTAGGCAGCTATCTACAAACCAGAGACAAGGGCCTCAGGAGAAAGCAACCCTGTTGGGAAGGAACTTCCTTAGAGACTTCAGAGAGAGTGTGGCCCTGCCAATACCTTGATCTTAACCTCCTAGCCTCCGGAATTGTGAGAAAATAGATTTCTGTTGTCTAAGCTCCACAGTCTGTGGTACGTTGTTATAGCAGCCAAAGCTGACTAATACAGATCAGAACAGATACGATCAAATAATGTAGAATTATGAAGGATCCAGAAAAGAATGTAATTATCTCAGGATACCTCTAGGTCAGGTTTTCTTAAAGTAAGGTCTGCATATTACCCACATCAGAATTACCTATGATACTTTTCAACATGCAGGCTCCAGACCCCTCTGGAAGTACTAACATGTTCTGGGGTGAGGTCCAAGAATCTATCCTTTCAATAGACATCCCCAGGTGTTTTGCATACTAAAGTTTGAGACCCACTACTCAAGGTCCTGCTCAACCTCTGGACCTTTTCTGGGCCTGGCTGGCCAGTACTAATTACACAGTAGCAAGTGCTGGTGTATCTGTGCTCTGGCAGATTCTCAGTGATCCAGGAACCAAGTATAAATCCCATTGTACATATTAAGTATCAGCCAGTGTTTACCAGCATAGGAGGAATCCTGAATGGGATAGATCAAATAGAATCCATGCCTTACCTATCTTATTCACTTAAGAATATAATGATATAGGGGCGCCTGGGTGGCGCAGTCGGTTAAGCGTCCGACTTCAGTCAGGTCATGATCTCGCGGTCCGTGAGTTCGAGCCCCGCGTCGGGCTCTGGGCTGATGGCTCAGAATCTGGAGCCTGTTTCCGATTCTGTGTCTCCCTCTCTCTCTGCCCCTCCCCCGTTCATGCTCTGTCTCTCTCTGTCCCAAAAATAAATAAACGTTGAAAAAAAAATTAAAAA